GAAATTTTGTAAGTTGCTAAAATTTTGATGATTTGCAGATTTTAATTTGGTGAGTTTGTGCAGGTGCCATCATGGTGCCATTGAGCATGCACATAATGGTACAAGATGGCAGCTGGGTTTTATTGTGGCAAATGGCTGTCAAAACGGACCAAACTTGCCAAAATTTAATCTCCTCCAAAATTACCTGCTTTATGGTATACACTATGACAACTGCATCCATATTTAGAAAAAATGAAGAATTCTCTTCTGGCAATTTTGACAATCTACCCTGTACTCTAGTACAAGGTCTTTAAATACATGTAAGTATAATTCTGTTTTCTCACTCCCTCTCTTTCTCTCTCACCATCTCTTCTTTCCCTATCACAGATTAGTTCAAATTTAGTCTCGCCCCGCCCCTTCGCTACCAGCGAAGGGGCGGGGCGAGATTAGTTCAAATTATAGTGGGACTCTCCCCTGGTCAGGGGTTGGGTCTCAGTATCGTTGGTGGGCGTGGCTCTCCCACTGGGGACGTACGCATTTACGTAAAGAGGATCCTACCTGAGTCAGTGTTACAGAAAGACTCAAAGATAAAGACTGGAGATGAACTGGTAGCAGTTAATGATTTAATAATACATAATGTAACTAAGGACTATGCTACTGAAGCTCTTACTAATGTACAGGGAGCAGTGAGACTACTACTGATACAGGACCTATGAATGATATGATATCTGGAGACTGTATTGAATGAATGAATCTACTGATTGGTCTCTCTCTTTTGTTCTCTCAGTTAATGCATTTCTTCTCCTCTTGTGTCCTTTCTTTCTTGTTTTTGTTTGTTTCTTTCAAGAATGTGTGCCGGTTTGTGAGTGTTTTTGATTTTGTTATGCATGCATAATACTAAAATGTGAATCAACTCAAATGTAGATTTAATTGGATTTTTTGCTAATGCTGCATTTACACTACATAAGTGGGCCAAACCATGCTGAACCAGACTGAGCTGGCCCTGCTGTACTAACCATCTGGCCTGGTTTGGGCCCAGCTCACTTCAGCTCAGTTTGGTTACTGTTTACACTATCAAATGAAACTGTGCTAGCCCCTTTTAAACAGGGATGGCTCAGTTTAAAAAGCTAGTGTAAACACAGCCACCGGTATAAAAGTCACATGAGCTGCGTACTTCTGATTGGTTCGAATTCGTCTCTATCGGTCTCTTGTTGCCAACGCATATCTTTATCTTGTTTAAGTTCTTGCCGAGCCTCTTAGAGGTCTTTCTACACTAGCATTTCTAATGCGCATTGAACTGGTTTGGAACCGGTTCCAGTGTAGAAAGGCCTTTACTTTCTAGCTTCGAATCCTCGTTTCGTTCTGAATTTACTCTCTCACTAGCTGTTCTCATCCACCTTACTGATCAAGATGTCGCTGAAAAACCAGTGTCTGGATGCGTTTGACCGTGGAGATCATGAAGAAGCTGTTCGCTTACTGCCACTAGTGAAGGAGCCAAATAACATAAGCTCATCCTGTAATACCGGTGCTGCTTTACTTCATTTGTCGTCAAGGAACGGCTGGTTAGATGTTACAAAAGATCTCATCACTAAATATCACTGTGATCCACACCAAAGAGATGATGGTGGTCGGACCTGTCTTCATTATGCTGCACAACATGATCGTGTTGATGTGTTAAAATATCTAATTGATGAGTGTTGCTGTGATCCAATGGCTACTGACACAAGGAGGCGGACACCTCTTCACATTGCTGCTGCTTTTAGTCGTTCTGTTGAATATTTACTATCAACTGGTAAATGTGATCCATCAGCTAAAGATAGTGAGGGGAGAACACCGTTACAACTAGCTAAAGCAGAGCAGCAGAGAGGAGGGACTAATACTCTTCCAATCTTTAAGAAGTTTCATGACATTAAAATATCTCATCCAGTTGATTCTTATGTTAACGTCCTTGTTGTTGGTGTTTCTGGAGCTGGTAAAAGTACTCTTAGTCATGTCATCAATGATACAGCTACTGGTTTCATCCTTCTTGGTTGCTTTAGAAATGTTGGAGGGGTAGTGCCCTGTACTGTTGGCATCATTCCTTATAAACTACAACACAGGACACTGGGTAATATCATTCTTCATGATTTTGCTCGTCATTCAAAACTATTACAAGGTTCTGGCGGTGTGTTCCTGATAGTAGTCAATATATTGGAGAAGGAAGCAGTCAAACAGCTTCATCAGTGGCTAACAGTTGTGAGACATCAAGCACAGAAAGTTCTTAATCAATGCCATGTTATTGTAATAGTCAGTCATGTGGATGAGATAAGTAATCCTGTTGAAAGGAGAAGGAGAAAGGAAGAAATACAGGAGATTATTATAAGGGAAAGGTGTGATAGTGTCTTCTTAGATTGTCGTAAGCTTGGTGGGAGTGGTGTGGATTCCTTCTTTAATAAGTTGTCTAGTGCCTGTGAGTCCATTCGTAGTACAAGTGGAAGGAATTCGAGTCTTTATTGTCACATGATGTATGGCCTACTAGAGGAAAGGAAAAAGAATATACTGACCCTCTCTGATGTAATGTCTGCTGGTAAGGACAATGATGATTACTTTATACCAGATAAGAGAGAAGACATCTTGGATGTTCTTCAATCGTTACACTCAATTGGTTTGATCACTGTTCTTAAAAGTAAGCATAAGGTTTGGGTTGTTATGAATGAGGGTATACTACTAACTGAGGTGGATGGGATTCTCTTTGCTCCAGAGGCATTTAAAGAACACGTTGGCATTGCTAGCAATACTGGTATCATTAGTGTATCTGGTCTGACTAGACTCTTCCCTAAATATGATCCTGACATGTTGATCTGTTTCCTAAAGAACATGAGACTCTGTCAAAGTTTAAAATCATCTTTCCTAAGAATGACAAACCCCCATCGGTTAGCACTGGAGGAGAGGAGAGGGAGAAAAAAAAGAAGAGAAAAGAAGTTGTTGTTCTTTCCATGTCTTTTGTCTACTGATAGACCTGATGAAATGACTAGTCAAGTGTACCAGTTTGGTTGGTGTCTACAGTGTACTAGCAGACATGATTTCTTTCCTCCTCGATACTTCTATGTCCTAACATTACATCTTGCTTACAAAATGGCTCTACCTCAAAAAGGTAATAAGTTAAATCGTCGTTGTACATTTTGGAAGAATGGTCTTTATTGGTCTAATCGTCGTGGTATAAGATCACTGGTAGAGATTGTGGATGAGAGCCAGTGTGTACTAGTAATGATGTCCTGTGAGAAAGGTTACAGTGACAATATGGTGTCTCTAAGAAGAGACGTGATAGGAGAAGTAATGAGTGTTTATGAAGAATCCTGTCCTAGTCTAGAGGTAAAAGAGTTAGTTATTGATCCTAAAGAACTAGCCTATCCTGTGAATACACCAAGAGAAAGGACAGTGTATAATGTAAAAGATATACTCTCAGCAGTAATTGAACAACGACAATTTTTAGTTAATGCTACTGGTACTAGACGTACAGAATTGAAGGAGATCCTACCTGATGAATCATTATCAGATATTAGTAACCTGTCACTATTAGGAGGACGTGATATTAGGGTAAGAATTAATTGTTTGATAGCATTAATATACAAGCACAAATAATCAAAAGGTCTTATATTCCTTGTCATAACTTTGGGTTGTCATTGTGTGGCTTTTACTACTATACATCTGTCAGCCTTATGTCACTATCTTATCAAATCATCATAATTGTGCATTATTGTATAGGAAGTGATTAAAACAACTGAAGAAATCGAGACATTGACGGTATCTTACCATAAAAATTGAAATAAATTGTGGGTGTGGTCAACAGCTAGCTAATCATTAGTGCTGGGCAATATTGAAAATTTTGAAATGAAATGATATGATACGATAATTTCCCAAAAATGAAGATATTGATATTTTATTATTATTATTGTTATTATTATTATTATTATTATTATTATTATTATTATTATTATTATTATTATTACTATTATTGTATAGGAATTGGAGAGTATTGGCAAAGGCATGATCATGATAGACACTATAATGCAAGGTATGTTATGTATAATATGCCATGGCTTCAAGATGTGTATTAGCAATGTGGGACCCTTGCCCCTCAATATCTGCCCAAAGTGAAGAAGCCAAGGGCAAATATTGAGGGGTGAGGGTCCCATGTACTATCACAATTGTCAAAACTAATGGGAGTGCAGAATTCGTGTGTATACATTGTACATAATATAGTTTATACTGCAATTTGTAGAAATACAGCTATTTGAAACCCGAAGGTGAGCCTGCATGCATGAGTGGTTGTAATAGCTGTAGTCCTGTGTAACTAATTTAAACTAACCTTGAAGTAATGATTGTACATATGCTATTGTAAAAATAATAAATTTTGTGGTGTATTTAATTTCACAGATTTTGATGGAAATTTTTATTTGCACATAATGATGCAAAAGGCAATGCTGTGGAAACACTGCACATGTGCAGCATGTGTATTTAATGCATGTTCAAGTGCAATAAAGGGGAATTTAATCCTCTTGAAATTAAAAAATTATACAACCCAAAAACATAAAATTTTATACCCTTGAAATTTTCTATTTATATGTGGTATCGTACCCGGCCATTAGTGGTTAATGCATCAAAGGAAATTATACATTACATGAATTCCTGCAGCCTGCTCCATGTTCAAGCTATCCTTTACATGCTTTCTGCTCAGATCCTGTCATGTTTTTTATTCATTTTAAAGGCACATGATTAATAATGCCATTGCTGTGTGTTAATGCAATAATTCTTCTGATTTGTGTAATAATGAGCAAGTTCTTACATCATGTAGGTAAATTTTCACCGTTAAAATAATTTTACAGCAAAATTTTAATATAAACATTTCCATAAACAACATGAAATTTTCTTCCGCCCTAACAATGGGCTAACATCAAAATCTGTGGTATTGTGATAAATCACTGAAAACAGTGCTTCAACTAATAAATAAAATTATGTCATTATTTACTTTTTAGAAAAAATTGATAATTGGCTGAAAGAAGGTAAAGTTGAGTTAAAAGTCACTCGTATCAATATGCATGGTGCACCTGGAGCTGGTAAAACGTGTTCGCAGCACCTCCTACTTAATGAGCCACCACCTGAGAAACTCACTGATAGTACACCAATAGCTTGTCGCGCTGTTCAAGCAACAAGAATATCCATTGATGATGGAAATAAGAAGTGGGAGAGGGTTGAAGAGCAAGATTTATATGATCAACTAGCATCTCATTTAAAGAACAAAACGAAACTTGAAAAAATTCTTGCAGAAGAAGATGAAGCGCTATTATCTGAAGATGATGATATGTCTGAAGATGATGATGTGTCTGATAGTTCAGACGATTCATCAATAGAAGAATCAACCGCAATTGATTCAGCTGAGGAGGAAGCAACACAGAATAAGTTAACTGAAGATGGACTAACTAAAAAGAAACCAATTGAGACTAAAGCAGCCGAAACAGAAGTAATGAAAAAAGTAATCAATACTAGAGACTTGGAAGAACTCAGCACAAATTGGGTTTATTTTATTGATTCCGGTGGTCAACCAGCATATCGAGAGTTGCTACCTCTTTTTACAAGAGCAGCTGCACTGAATATCATCACCATTGATCTTACCAAAGGTCTTGATGAGAAGTGCCAGTTTCAATATCGTATTAATCAAAATACATCTATTGATACAA